AAGCCAAAAAACATAGCGATGACACACTCAATCCAATAAAAGACACCATCATATAACGTGGTTCACCCTCAAAGTGATTACGTCCATTTGAAAAGCTCACACGTGAGAATAATACTAAAAGTGTTACGGTAATGTACAAACTCTGGAATATAAGCATATAGCACCGACGATCATGAGGTTACTTCTTATTTGGAGTTAACTTCAACATATAACAGATAGCAAAAAATTAAATATTTAATCAAAAGATATAATCACAAAACATATATATTCATGTGTTATAAAATAAATTATAAGGAAATACCATATCCTCCGCCGCCCTCAACCAAGGATGTCTCAACATCAGATTGTAACTAGCTTCCTTAAGTACTTGGAAGAAAACAAAGTTTGAACCTCTCTCACACTCATCACAACTTTGTCAACCACATCAAGTGATATTATTTCTTGTTTGTTGACCATACCAATAATTATACTAAAAGATCTTGAAATCCGCATTTTTAACTTCAAAAACATTATTTTAAACATTGCATTCACAGCAGACCCATCATCTACCAGTATGTTTGATCATGTCTATTGATCCTCACTTTGATGTTTGAAACATGTATACATACCTTCAAAGTAGCAGCATCCACCACACCAACTTTCACATTTGTCATGTGAGATTTTTCTTTAGATCTTTACTTCTTAGAGTTTCGCTTCACTCCACACGCTTCACCAACGCGCACAGTCTCTTTGAAAAACAATGGTGTAAATACAATCTTCTGATTGAACCTAGACGTTTCACAAGAGCTTTGCAAATCGAAGTGAATATCAGAACCAAAAAATTGTAAAGCTTTTTGGTCATAAAACACTTAAGTTTCTTATTTTGTAATTAAAGGCGAAAATATAGATATATTTTTTGTAACTAACTTGTTGGCTCTGTGATTTAATCTAACGCAATTCACGCGCTTTATTAACGCGCACAGGCTCTTTGGAGAACAATGAGATAAATACAATGTTCTAATTGGACTTAGGCGCTGCACAAGAGCTCTGCAAATTGAAGGAATTGTTAAGCTTTACGGTCATAAGCCATTAGAGATTCCTCCTTTGTGATTGAAGGCAAAAATATAGATATATTTTCTATAACTAACTTGTTGGCTCCGTGATTTATTGCAACTCAGTCCAAGCGTTTCATGAACGTGCATAGGCTCTTTGGAAAATAATGACGTAAATACAGTGCTCTGATTGGATTTAGACGTTGCATTGGAGATTTGCAAATTGAAGTGAGCATTAGGACCAAAAAATTGTAAAGTTTTTTGGTTATAAGCCACCGGAACTTACTCTTTTGTTATTAAAGTAAAATACATTGATATATTTTTTGTAACTAACTTGCTAGCTCTGTGATATACTCCAACTCAATCCACATGCTTCAACAATGTGTATAGGCTCTTTGGAGTAGCGAACATCCTCATATTGATAAAAAAATTAGAACTTAACAGAATATTTCATAAAGAGTATATATTTTGAGTTCAACACTTGGACATTGAATCTTGTGAATGAAATGTGAAGGACACCAAAATATCTTCAATGCAAAATCAAGAGATAAGAGTAGCTCAAAACAAGACATTGAAGTATCTTTAGTACAAGGTCAACAGATCAGAAAATACATAACGACTTGGGCCAAAAAGCTAAACATAGTGTTCATGAAAGATATGAATAATTTTATTTTTTCTCCAACTTTATATGTTGAATTTTCCACATCACATGTTTCTATTTTTGTTATTTAAGGCAAAAATATGAATATATTTGTAAAACTATATCCAAAAATCTTGTATTTTATTTGTGTGTAGTAATCTTTGGACATCTCTTCCTCGCTCATCTCTATCTTGTCAAGATATTTCATCACTCCCAGTCTGGAAAGTAGTTCCATGACAATCATAATTTGAATTTAAATATCATCATTTGATTTATTATCCAACAATGTTTTTTGATCAAGATGTTCAATTGTTGATGTCAAATTTTAAAAATTTTCACTTTTCTAGATCTAAAATTTTCAATATTCACTAGTTGTTCTATTATGATATATTGTTACATCTTATCTTTTTGTCAATGAAACCTTAATCTAATGATTTTTTGGTTCTATACAAAGGTAATTTTTGTTTTATCAATTAATAATTGTCAACGAAAAATGTTTAAAAAACAAATCAAAATAAGATATTTTTAAGCACTTGGAAAGATGATAAGATTATTTAAATTTAGCATAACCTTATAATCCATAAATCGAGATTTAAAATTAAACAAAAAAAATACAACAATGCACAAGTGACATTACTCACAAAGACGTCAGCTTTTTCACATGGTTCATTTAGAGCACTATGTTCATGTAATAGGAAAAAAATGCATTTCGTATAATGAGCAAGTTGAAATTAGAGAATTAATAATGAAGATTTATACATCGTGTGCATTTATAAATCACTCACACTTAGTAAATGATTTATCACTCACTAAGTTTAGCTAGATAGAGTTAACTCAAAAATGGAGTTAATTAGAACACAATCTTGTCCATTATATCAAATGATTGAATCTTCTATGTGATGGTCATACTATAAATTGTATTAAAAGTTCCAAATATCTTCATTTTTAACTTCAACAAAAGTTTTTTGACATCACATTCATCATAGAGCCTATATCTACCAATATGTATGAAATATAATGTTCATCATTTATCATTTCAATTTTTGATACATAATATATATAGTTTTGAAATAATTACGTCTATCATATATTAGTAATTTGTAAATTTTAATTTTAGATCTTTATTTCTTGATCTTGGTGAAGCTTAAATTTTCATTCAATTTTTTTTATATGATCAAATTCAAAAAAATCAAGTAATCAATTAATCAATTATTATATAGATATTTGACTTTAAATATTTCTATATTTTGTATTTATCTTGTGAGATTGAGAAAAAAATATCATTCATTTTCAAATTCAATCTTGGCATTATTGATTAGTTCATTTCATTTGATTGTGTATTTCAACTTCACATATATTTCATTAAAGTAGATTATTTTCAATCCTAAACTTGCACCCTTTTGAATCGTAGTTAGTATGAAAATTGGTGACTTACATGCAATTGTCTAATTTACTTAGCCATTGAAACTTAGTTACTAAATCTCTCGCGACAAAATTGTCACACATATAACTTTATTCAAATGATCTAATATACAAGCATTTATGTGTTATTCTTTTTAATGAATTAATTATACAAACTTTATATATACACACAAATTATCTAAAACAGTAGATTTTTTTTTTATCTTTAATCAGTTCAAATTGATGATAAGTTCTTCTCAAACTACTCTCTAACAATCTCTCTAGTTTTTATTACATAAGAAAACTTTCTTAATCAAAACAACTAACTTCCAGTTACAATATGAACATTTAATGTTATTCAATATAAATTCTGAAAGTTTTGATATTTTTTCACATGCTAATTGAAAGATTTTGTCATTTCTAAGTCTAATCTCAAATGTATACACATAATTAGATTCTAAATTCTTTTACAAATCTTGCAAGTTTCTTCTCATGAACAAAAATATCCATCTTGAACTTTGGAAAACTTTATTAACAAATAAATATTTATAATAAAATATATCAATAGATGTAACTAACGTTATCTTTTTTTGATGTACAACTAATATATTGGTGTTGTGACAAACTTCATAATGTTATTCAGTATTAGGATAATTATTTTGAAAATTAAATTCCCATATTTAAAAAATAATTTATGAAATTTTTGGAATTACATTTACTCTTCATTTATAATTTGTATATACTCTAAACCTACTCTACATTTTGATTTTTTCTTTCTCTATAAGAATATTACGTTGATATTGAGATGAGTTAAAATGTTTCAAATTTATGATAAAACTATTGTATAAATTAGCTAGAACATTAATATTTCTCTTTCTACGATTTGTGGAGTTAAATCTATAATCATCAATTAAATTTTTCATCTTTTTAATTTTTTTCTATTTCAGGGTTAATTTGAATGATTTTAATATAAGAATACTGATTTTTGTATTTTATTTTGTTTCAAATTTCCAATAAAATTTTTTTGGTAATATTTTCTTTATTTTTTCTTAAAAATTATGTGAAATTTCAATTCCAACTATTGAGTTTTTTCAACGTAACATTTAACATTTTCATTGTTTTTTAATTTCAATAAATAAATAATAATAAAACAGTTAAATCTTAAAAATTCTAAAATATTTATTATAATTATTTTATAATTTGAAATTATTGAATAAAAATTAAGGAAATTATTTGGAAAAATAATTCATTATAACTGTTAAGAAATATTTTTTGAAGAATTTTTTTAACATAAATTCTCTAAATTATTTGAAAATATAATAACTAATTCTTTCCAAATAATTAATCTAATAGATATAAATTTCATTTATTAGTAATAGATATAATTTAAAATGTAATCAAATATTGAACAAATTCAATTGCATATTGAATTTTTTTAAGTATATTGTAACATATAATGCAATATAATATCAACAAATATATGAAAATATTTATTTTTTTGGATTGAAAATTGATTATAAAAACGAAAAAAACTAATAATGAAAATCTTCTGTTGATGCACAAATATTCACATGACTGGATGATTTTATTCAATATTCTCCGAAATAAAGGCTTGTGTATGTCTATCCATTGTTAGTGGACGGACATGGATCTAGCATGTGGGTCCACGAACTTTAGTGGGTGGCGATGGATGGCCATGGCATGTGTTCGATTTGAAGTATTTCTGAATAATAACCAGTTTTTGTTCCCCTTGGACCCACCATATGTAGGCTTTCTCTTTTTGGGGCCCAGTGGTTGCCCACTTCTATGAACTGAGTAAATGGCATGTGAGGAGGTGGCTGCACTCGGAATCACAACAGAGGCAACATAAACAACAGGTGAGAAACTAGCAGACACACCATATCATCATTGACACCTGCAAGACTCTATGTTCCACAGAGTCTTGTTCGTCTGGCGCTTTATTCCCATATAGACTCGACACGAGACCCGAGGGTCCTTTAAAAATGCCCAGCTATGAAGAAGAGGATTGATGCAGCCGATCCTACTGCTACTGCTAGTATCTGACTCTAGTCACTTGTGCATCTGCGATAACTGTGATAGCTCTTACAAAGTCGTTGCTTACTTTCGAGCTGACGTTTCAGGTCCAACCAAATCCCATCTGGGTTATGGGATTTAACCTGCTGTCGAGCTGCGGAGGGGAGATATTTGAGTTCTGGAGGGACTGAGCTACTTACAACTACTTTACTGGAGACGTCTTCCGGTTGCTTCTAGGCCTGTTCACTTTCGATGGGTTGGAAAAAGAATCGCTTTATAATCTTCTTAAGTTCAGCAGGAGTGTTGCTGAAGCCGTCTACGTTTCTGTAATACATCATGTACAGCGCTCGCATCATTCCCAACCAGCCACTCCTGACCGGGGGCAGAGTGTAACTTGGGTTCAGAAGCTTGGAGAGCACTTCATGTGCTCTCTCCCTCACTTGGCCCTGGATTGCTATCCTTGCTTGGTCTGCTGTGAGCTCAGGATGCTCTCTCATGTGCGCTGTGATAGAAGACACGTGACCACCTTCATTATCCCTCTGCACAAGCCATGAGTTACGGTTTAACTTACGGTCATCGCTTGCTGCAATCTACTACTGTTCCACAAGCTCGGAAATGGGTCTGTAACCATGAGAAAAACTGTAGTGGAAGGAAGAAAGAGGGAAGAGCTCACTTGCTGGGTTGAGCAGTCGTTCAGCAGTCTTCCAAATGTACTGACAGAGCGAAACAGATCCCAATACTCTTGGTCTTCAAGATCTTCGTCTGAGATCACTGATCCCAGGAAGAAAGTTGTTACAGGAACGATGGGTCCAAGTGCAAAACTAACCCAGCTCGTGTCAATGTATTCATCTGAGGATGGTTGGTGCCCCGAGGCAGTCCACTCTGCTTCCGTCAACATGCTCATTACTAGATCTACCCACTGCAGGCAGAAGAACAAGGTGGTTTCATATTCTTTTAGTACTGACGTTGAAGGAAATCTATGTCTCATTTGAAAGAGATCAGAATAGCTGGCAATTGTTCCAAGTTACTAAACTCAGCAACATCTCTGGGGGTTTGCAAAAGAGATGTAGTTATCATTGACTGAAAGAGAGTGACAGAGTTCCCCTATCGATATGGTGGTGAGGCACTCACCAAGCGTTGGAACAAGTGGCTTAGATCACGCCCTTGTATTTTGCTGACTTCCTCGCATAGAAAATTCACAGAGCTTAATACACCGCGAGCTATTACTTTCAGCGGCTCAGAGCAATTCTCTACCAGAGAAAGGTCCCATCTGCAGGAGATATTTCGCAGGAGCTTTAGCTCGGTGAGGATCATTGGATCTCGAGAATCACAAAGGAAGTAACTGTGGGCCTTACCTTCTCACACATTCTACGAACAGTCTCAGCTCATGAACGTCCGCGATCTCATCAAATAGATCATCGACCGCGGTGGTCATTATTGAACTCATGGTCCAAGAAGCACGCGCAAGTGCCATCTCCGGGCCAGAGGCGACTCCAACCGCTGTAAGATATGATGGATAAAGTGGCTGACGTACGAAGGAAAATTCTGCAAACCTGCTCTCCTTCACCCACCTGCAGATTCTTTGTTGTCAGCTGAATTTCAAAGTGGAAATTACATCTATAAACAGGGTGAAGATCCCAAAGAATTATGCTGAATGACATATTCAACAGGATGTTACAACAGATCACATCAGAAGGCTGTAGCATACACATGCACACGGTTTGCGCACGAGATGGAGTCGACTGCAGAGAACTTTACCTTGCCAAGCTTTCTAACTCTTTTTGATAAAGAGATTGACAGGAACTGAAGTTGCTCTTCGCAAATGCCAGCAATCTAGGACCCCTGGCATGGGTCGTTCTGTACAAGATACCACAGGATAATTTGCCTTGTCATCTAATTGATTAAAAAAGTGAAGAAGCTTAAACGCTGATGGACTCCTTCATGATTCATACCTGGAGAAACCCGTTTCAACGTATGTCTCCATGGTCTCGTCCTTGTATTGAAAGCGGTCCATGTAAATCATGCTCTCTTGTGGTAGATTCCTCATAAAGTATGGAAAATCGAGAACATACTTGATCTGAATTACAAGGCAAGTCTACAATGAACATGGATTCTTCCACAACCAGATGGTAAACCAATAACGCACTGTGACAGCCGCACTATCACCCAATATTAGAACCTACCTGTTGGGCCAAACGATGACCAGTGAGCAGTGACAAATTATTTTTCTCTTCTATCCACAGTGATCCAAAACTGCAACTTTCTCAGGCATCCTTCACCGTCTAAGTAACTAAGTAACTTCCTTGCACAGAAGTACCGAACTCACTTCTTCCATCACATTTCTAGAATCGCTTTCTGAAGTTTGTGAAAGCAGTGTGGTCAGGTGAGTTGTTGATATGTCCTTCGCGTAGTCAAGGATTTCTTCACCAGGAAACTTCAATTCGGACGCCCGGTACAGCTCAAGCATACACCTGGCTCCGAGCTTCTCTCTTGCTGCAGATGCCTTGCAGCATCTCGCGAAAACCGACGTCTCTGGACATTGCACAATGATTACGTATAAGCAGCAATGCAGCGTTTGTAAGATCGAGAGATTCCGTTGTATCTGGGTATAACTATCAAACTAACAACAAAAATTACTAACGAATGCAGAAAACTCTGGGCAGTGCTTGAATCTCAAACCATGGATCGGGACAAAGAATTTTCCTTTCGAGCACGCAAGAATGAATACTTTCAAAGAGAACAAGACGCAAAAACCAAGAAATTTAAAGCTACAACTGCAGAGTACAAATGGTCGTAAGCTCCCTTCCTTGCTGAACTAACAGCTCAAGCAGAAGACTTCTGTAGTCCATTCCGCTTTCGTGGACAAAAAGGTCCAATTTTTAACAGAGGAGAAAAACACGTCCTGGTAGATTTCAGTTGTTTCTTAGCACATACCGGGCAAAACTAAATAGCCATGCTCGCGAAGAGCTCGGAAGATTATGATTTCCGACACCATGTCTTGTGTGTCTTCGTCAATTTTCGGAGTCCATTCTCTGCGAATGCACAATCTTCACACAATAGTGAGATATTCATAAACTAGTGAGATATTCATAATGTAAAGTAGATTGTAATCTCTACAAAACGTCTTGCCTTAAACAATTTTCGCGAGCTCTTCCTGAACGTTTCCAGAGACGCAAGGTAACTAATCCAAATCCAAAGTATAAGACCGTCAGTAACGCATGTCAATCCCGTCTGTTCGTACCTGCTCAGTGTTTCCAATACGTTATGTATTTCTCGATGGAAGTGACGATCTATGTTCAAGCGTTCAAGGTGATCGATCAGACTCAATATATGAGAGACCCGCTTTGGGTACGAACTTGGCACTGCCCCATATACAACACAAGTTTAAGTGCAGAGAATTCAACCACTATTATTCTTTGAAAGACGGGGAAGCATCTCCACGGTGATCGCTTAACACCACTAGTCCTCCAATACATGCCTGTCTCTCTGGAAACAATGGACTCGAGAACCCAGGTCTGCACTCATACAGACCAAACTAGCAGTTTCGCCACACTGGTTTCAATACAGGAGTAACGATTTATACCTGCAGACCCAAACTGGTCTAAAAGACCATTCAAATAGCACAACGCTTTGTTGTCTCTTGTTTTCATATAAAGGCAGGCAGTCGCAGCAGGGGACGAGAAGAGGTCACCGTCGGCCGATTGAAGTTCAGAAATGTGGTTCCAAGGTATGACATGTTGAATACATTCTGGAAAGCTGAGCAGCCTTGTCGAGCATGTCTTGATCAAGTCATGCGTTCCCTTCAAACTGGTAGACAATACATAAGTTCAACATCATATGAAGATGTGTTACAGTTGAATTGGAGGAAAGCTTCAACTTCTTGGCTAATGACAGGCACACACTTAATGGGCACGAATGAATCAAGGCCTTAACATCCGACAATCTAGGGGACTCATGAGGATTCAAGGTGCAAATTTCCTCTCGGGGGCCAACGGCTTTCCACAAAGTTTGCTAAGTCGGTCTTTGATCCTCACCTGTGCAGCAGTTGACCATGGTGGATGCGAAGATGCTCCACAACAGAGCATGAGTATGGTAAGGAGATGTCGAGTCTCGAGGCCTCTTCCAACAATTCGGCCAAGGCATGAAACATACCAGGGCTTACTAATGTCAAGTCATCAGTCTTCATGGAGGTGAATGCACCTTTGAGGAACTGTTCTCCTGCCAAATCGACAATTCATCTTGAATGACTTTTTGGACTTCAAACTTACCTCTTCCAGCACACAAGCCCGCAACAGACATGACTCCAAGAACATATCTGATGTTTTCGAAACTAGTTTTTCTTCTCGGAAACTACCGTAGTCATTGGAACTCATCTCAGCTCCCCGGTGTACGTATCAAACCAGAGTAAAAATTGTTTTACCTTCGAGGCTACATTTTGGAGCAGAATTCCAGGTTTTCAAAGACACCAGACAGGCAAGAGTGGAAGTAATCAAGTCGAAGAAGGTATCTGAAGAACATCCCCATGCACCATCTAGACGCTGATTGCTGGATATCCATTCAAGAGTCTGAGGAAAAAGAGGCCCATCTCCCTCATCATTCGAAATCAAGGCTACCCATGCAGTGTCATAAGCGGACAGGGGGTAGCTGTCGATCTTGAGAGCATCCCTAATATCTTCAAAAGAAGTGGGTGCATTCACTTCAGCCATCACTTCCGAATCCAGGAACTGGAAAAACGGACGAGTAGATTGATCCTTATTCAGACTGTCAAGAGGAATTTCAAGGACTGAGTAGGAAATAATCAGTAGGAACCATTGGGTTGATAATAAATGGCAACTACAAGGATTAGTTAATGATGGAGAGATTTACATGCATAGCCGTCTTGGCCATCGTATCTTTAGTGACATTGGCAGCACCGAGAACACTGCGTGCACAAGCTCCGAGATGTCCGACCGAAGAAGAGGAAAACACTGCTGCGATCAATCAAAGAGAGGCAAAGGTGGTGAGAGAATTTTCCACAAACTCCTCACAGAGAAGCTTAGACCAAAAACTGCAACGTTATATACAGAAAAACATACAGGATGCAGGAATTATCTTCACAACCTGCATTCACAAGCAACACAAGCTTTGAAATAACTGTGCAAAGCAACTAATTTAACAAAAAATTGTGAGAGATTGTGTGTTTTAACTTGCAAGCTCTTTGAATTTCTTCTCCGGGATGAAATTACTCATCTAGATAATATGGGTCAGTCTTCTTCAGAAAACCATAATCAATGTATGCAAGTGATGAAATGGAAGGCTTCAGAATAACTTCATTAAGATAAAGCTTGCGCTCACTCTTGTGCCAGAGCTTCGGACTTGTTCGACAATGGCTCGCAAAATTGTCAGTAAAACTTGCAACAGTTTGTCGTCGACTAGCCACAGTGCTGCTCAACCTTGAGCCCGAAATTCTTATCCCACCGAGCAACGAACTCAGTGTGCAAGCCTCCATCCTGCGAGATCCGACTCCGCTGCTCACAATAGCTGGATGGATCATCATCTTCACCCGGAATGCAGTAAAACTGGGTTCGACTGGTAATTAGACTGTCCCATGTCCGATCACCCAATCGAAATTGTGCCAACGACTCTCAGTCAGACTCGAGCAACAAATGATTCTCTGTTTCTGTCGACTTGTGAAGCTGGAAGAATTCTCCCGCTTCTATCTGTCTCATTGTCGAAGCGCTCGCTCCTGCAGTGCAACCAGATCTAGTCCAGAACTCAGATCCCCAGCTCAATATTGCACAGCAATTCTATTCGTAACATTAACCATATTCACGGAGCGATCAGTAGTTGGTGTCGGAGAAGCACACCCTGCCCTCTGCCACAGGACCTCTGCCGGCTACCGAAATTGTCCGGATTTCTGAAATATGGTGGACACCACAATCTGCAGTATCATTTACCTCTTTGACCGGAATCCGAACAGCAGAACATCGATCACCTAGATGGTTCGAAAGGGGGCTCCAAGTCTCGAAGCTCAGGCACAATGAGTACTGCACTGCACTGCACTGCCTGCCTCTGTTTCTTCTCAGGTTTCGGACAAAATCCGAGTAGTTGAGTCGTCGAGCTGTACTTTAGACTCGAGCACATCGAACCAGGGACTCTTTGGTTCTTTTTGACGGATATTGCGGTTTCTGAAAATTAGACTTTTCAGCTTTCCACGAGCTGGGGAACTTTTAGGAACACTCCTATAGGCGGACAGGTGCCGGGACATCAGGACAGCAAGCATACGTCCGCCACTATGGTAGTAAAACAAATTCACAAAAGGACGACATTCACAATCAGCGCAATTATGCTCAACTCCATAGCTCGTATTATATGAGCTTTGGGATATGAGTTACATCCCTTCCGATTCATGATTGAGAAATCATGAAATCATTTTGTACCTACAGTACAAAATTGCAGTCCTGGACAGGTATTTCATGTGCAAGTAAGGACAGGTCAAAGGAATAAAAAACCATGTCCAGGAGAAGTGTTGACTGCCGAGGTCATAGTGATCGATTGACTTCACTATTTTCTTTGAGATCTGCAGTTTCAGCTCACAGTAATTTATCACTAGATTCCTGTGGACTTTTAGCCACTTAATTTGCGAGCATTACTTTCGTTCACTTCAAGAGAGTAGAAAGGCAAAAAATGTTAAAAACGAGCAGGAACACAAACCAGTAAATCAGAGGATGGGCATTTCGTAGAAAGACGACGGAGAACAAACTGCGGAGCTTAGGTACTGAGCACTACACCGATGAGTTCGCTCCAATCAGAACTACATGATGGTGAAACGTCACGCAATGTAACATTCGGTCAAGGTACTTAAACTTCCAACTTCTTTAGCAAGAGTTGAAGTTGGATACTTATACAAATGATTCAAATGTTATCATTGGACGCACATCTAGTAAAAGTGAGGTTTAATATGATTTAATGGTTACTTGGAACTTAGCAATAGCATTTAAATGTCTTTTTTTATTTCCACCAAAAGAGACGGTTGGTTTGGTACTCATATATATATATATATATATATATATATATATCAATCAATGTGGTCATCTGCTGAATTCGATGCTCGTTATGTATGTGCACACTGGTTAGAAATGACAGATATGAATATGTTCTTCACATGAGAGTTCAATATCGGTGATGACAATCCTTGATTCCTCTCATGCAGTTGATTGTCAACCTCAAGGCCGACTTTTTTAACCTTGGAGACCCGAGAGCCTGCCTTGCTTATGAGGGTAAAGGTCACAACACAAGTCTTGATTGCGAAATTCGACTTCTTTCTGAATGTTTTATCTCATTTAGAGAATCTGATTGTCTGCTTCTATAGAGTTGTTCGTCTTTAATTCTTCAATATAGTCCTGTAATTTTTGTCAAACGCTAATTTTTTTTGGAAGCGTGGTTTATAGTTTCTAGTTTTTGCTCGTGTGTTTACAGTTCCCTGGTTTGTGAATATTACAGAGGGAAATAAGCAGTACCTACAATAACTCATACACAGTTTGACATTTGGACACCTCTATAGAAAGGCTCCTTCGATCCAAACTCAGGATTTCGTAAACAACAGGGAAGCATGCACGTCCGCAATAAGTGCAGTAGATTATTTTCTTTGTTATACACTTCTCCCGGTGTCACTTGTGCTATCGTCTATGCAATATCTATGCTCAGTAGAGACTAAATTATATTCAGGGTTTGGGAATAATATTTACGAGATGAATATGTGCTATTAGTAGTTGACGTCATCTTAATAATAGTTAGTTTGCTTTTTTTTAGTTATATTACAGGTTACAATTTTACAGAATAGAGTTAGTGAGAATTTTCTATTCCAAAAATTAGGTTTTCAGTAAAGTATGTTATTACACATGAAACAATTTTTTATTACCCTTTTTGTGGATGTAGACTTGTTGAGAAACTTTCCTAAAAAAATTAACTGTTGTGAATCTTTTGAGATAAACTAGGCCAATGAACCAATTATTTTCTTTTGAGTTGACTCTGTTCTACTTTTTCGGACAACACTTGTTGTGTTTCCAACTTGCTGCATGAGATATTAAATAACGAACACTTTAGTGCAGTCAGTTATTCTGCACCCATAGACATCACTTCAGAATATGTGAGGCTACATCATAAATGTAAAAACCAATAACTATTGAATAGAAAGGGGGCTAAGTGGATAGCAAAATATATGAAATCCAAATAAATTCAATTGATATTGGCACATTTTTATGCATGGAAATTTATGCACATGGATTTACACAAATGTTAGCTCAAGGTCCAATCTTCTCGTTTATATTGTTCAGAAACGCAAACATGATACAATTCATTACCTTTACGCACCCTATGATCTGTAACGAAGGTCACGCACGCATGAAACGATCCACGTTCTACGAATCATGATCACGTATACATTGTTGTATCTGTAAACGAGAGGTCTCAAAGAAGCGACTTATTTGCTGTCATTAGTCATCTATATAATCAGTTATCAGGTTTCTTTGTCACAAGGCATGAACATTCTGATCACGTAGAGAGGGAAGGATATTAAGCGTATCTGATGAATAATGAACTGTACAAGACGAATGGAAATCCAATCTTCACTTATCTCGTTTCTAAACTTAAAAGTTGGAGGAGGTAAAGAAACGGAGGAAACTATATGCAAGATACACGACTACTTTACATGAATAAAATATATTTTTTGAGGAGAATATGGCCCGGTAAGATCTCGTAATCTCATCTATCGACGGCATCTATATCAGTAAATATTTACTCCAAATGGCAGCTCTGATGTGGCTACAGGTGACCTGGATTATCTACAGGCAGTAAATGCATCCTTGAATATAAAATTGCTCCATCAAAAAAATTTATGGTTCTTCAAGCGAGCTTGGTCTAACTTGCTTTGTCTTTTGAGTTTGTTTCAGCGTTATTTCAATTATAAAATCTGTTCTCAATCAAGTTCAATCATGCTTGTCACATCGTAGAGTACATCCACTTTGTGAACTGATTTTGTCTTCATCTTTGTGTGTGGTCACTAAAAACTTAACAGCGGTTCTAGCATCAGGTTTCCTGACTGGTTTTGATGCTTCATCTGACGCCGCATTCATTCATTCATTCCGACTTTTCCGCCCATGTGCTCGCATTTGTCTCAGATCTTGTGTTATCCTTGTCATTCGGTTTCCTCCATATCTTATCGTACATTTATGCTCGCTTTCTCTAAAGTCATTTGCATTTACTTGTTCCATGTGGCCTTTCCTTGTCCATGTGCGTCCCGTTCATGTTCATGTTCATTTCACATCGTCCACATTGTCGATGATATCTATCTGAATCATTACCCATGTGCAAAAAGTACATTCCGCAATGGTGCATTCAAAATCTAGTTCGCCCGACAGTGGCACAGAGAGTCTGGACTTTTGATGCAGAAAAGTCTCCATATATAAATTTGTTTTCATTGGATGGTAGAGATTCCCGGGCCCTCGTAAGGTATAAAATACCTTACGAGGCTGGCTTTGGATTTGATACCTCGTAAGGTATCAATTCTATCATGGCTTTTTGACTGCATGCTGGTTTGGAAATTTCTGATTTTCCAATGTTGTGCAAGTGTTGGCTCTCGAATAACATGTTCACTGACGTCGCCTAAAGAGAACAAGATGCTTTCTGACGTCAACCTTCCTTCCGATGGCTGAAGCGTGAGTACCTATCGATTTTGCTGTTTGTTATAGGACAGTGTTCACCCACAAATGTAGCCTGGGCTGGAGAGCTGTTTGTGTTTGTGTAGTGTGGGACAGAGCCCAATCTATGGGTGCCTACTCCCATGCTCGTGCCCAAAATCACCCATGCTCATGGGTTTTGGGTGACATTATTTTTCCATGGGTGGGCACAAGTAGTTATAAGGACAGTGTTTTTCAAGATCCAACTAAGAATTGGCGTGGTTTAAATAGCATTAGTGGGCATTACCTGTACTCATGGGTGGGCACAGGTAATGTTGTAATGGGCGGGGGGTAAGGTTGCTGCTCATGGCTATGGTCTAGTCTGGGTGCAGATTTGAAGTAAAATGTTGGCCTCTGGTGTGGAGTGACAGAGGTCCACCTAGAACACCTTCACGAGGTGAGAAGAACGAAATCTCGCCGGTTTGGTGAGAGACACCGTTTCGCAGGACGAGCATCTCGCAGCCAAGATAAGCATACATATCCTACACCGAACGATCGTTGTGACCTGAGAAATATGTCCAGGATACAAAAGCCACATGCACGATGTGCAAGATGTGCTCGTAAAACTGCAAAGATGGAGAGGGAGACGTTTGGACTGGATGGATGATTGCCACATTTCCTTAGAGGGTATTTCTGAAACAAGACGATCAGTGTCACGGTTGCATGGGTCCGTGCCTTTGCACCCAATTGACCTCCATACCTCCAACATATCAGGCGTATAGAAAACTAGTGAGACGGAAAAGTACGTGGAAAGGAAGAGACCACAAGAATAAGAAGGTCAGATTTCCGTTCAACTGTCGTCGACGATAGAATTCGTTCATCTCTGTTTCATATCAAACTACAGATTCCGAAGATAGACTTCACAAACGCGGGCTGGGTAATCAACAAATCGACATGTTTCATGTAGAGAAAGAAGATCACTCATCCCAAAATTTCACAGCAGACCGGGAAATGTAGTGAACCAAACGAACGTAGTGCATGCATCGGAGTAAACGCAGAGACTTCTTTATTCTCAGTGCAGTAGAAATAGTTCTACGGTCGGACTTAATTTGGTAAGCCCACAGTCACGTCGGCGATCTAGTGCGCAAAGCAATCTTCAGAGGATCTGGGAGACATTGATATGAATATAGTAACAATGATAAATGTACACACGGCGGAGAAGATCCCCACGTCTATGGCTGTCAAGTTTTACTAACGCCAGACCAGACCGGGTCAAAAATTAGTATAGGCTTGCGAGCATTGGCAACTATGTCCTTGTCAACGAAATCGACCGACCCAACTCTTGCTGCTAGAGAGCTGATTCTGACTGTCACCCAAAAGGTCTTCGATAGGGACATGTGGACAGCGCAGAAGCTCCTGACGCTTCGGGCACATAATTGTGAGGTTGCTTGCTGTAACCTGTTATGGCGGTAGATAGCATTCGCTGCGACCAACTTCGCGCCACAACGATGCTATGGCCTCGCTTGTGCTCGCCTGTGAACACTGCGATATGTGCACATCACAACCAGAACAACAGACTCTACATTGCGCCCGCCCATGCATGCAGGGTGCAACTCTTTCTCTTGTCGTGACCATCCCTCAGACGAGCTGTAAGGCCTTGCGTCAGATGAGATGAAGGCTTATTCTGTTGAGGTATACGCCAGATGAAACTTGGCAGTTTCACCTTGCATTCCCCGCATTAAACATGAGAGAACCATGGCCTTGGGTTCCAGATCGCATGATCTCTGTCCCTAGATCTGGGCTCACGTCCAACAGGTTAAGCAAAGTCGGCCATCGTTCATCATCACGACTCGTTGCATCTCTTGGGAGTTGAAGTTGGATCTGCAAACAATAGTTGATACCGTGACGTAGGATATGGTATGAAATATCGTGTTGCAGATATGGCGCGGTTATCTCGGATTCAGGTTGTCGAGGACTAGTGTCTTCGGTGCATCACTTCTGGCCGGGCTTTCTTCGTGACGACCACTCGAGGAGAACGACAATTTCGATGTCGATCTTTGATGTCTGGCATCCAGACCGAGGCTTAGCTGCCTGTCACCAAAGCTGTCTGACGATCGAGGGGGCCTCTCGGCAAAACTCTCAGATTTTCTCGACAGTCCATCGCCAAAATAGTCAGATGTCCGAGGAGGCCTCTCCCCGAAAGTGTCGGATGCTCGACGAGGTAGCTCGGCCAAATTCTCAGGTTTCCAAGAGAGTCGCTCAGTGAATCTCTCAGACGATATGACTGGCCTCTCGGCAAAGTTTTCAGATTTCCGGAAGGATCTCTCAGTGAAGTTCTCCGATGTCCTGGTGGATACTCTGCCTGATAAATGTCCAGAAGACCTGTTGTACAAGCTCGGGTCTTCGCTGTAGATGATATCGGAGTAAACATCCGATTTCGATTGTGACCCCCTGCTGACGACCATACTCGAAATCGACAATCCGGACGTGCTCGAGAGCTTCAGACTGCTGTTGCTACTGAAACTTACAGGCGGCGGCGTGATGGGCCCTGGACCTGGCAGCCCAGGACCACCGGAACTCTCTGTGAGTATGGAACTCGACTGCATGCTCGAACTTGATCGAGACCTGAAGACATACGTCGACGCAACCAAAGCTTCTCTCTGCGGGCAAACGAATTGTCAAAGACATGGCATGAGAAGAACTATCTTGATGCTGTACAAGACCTGGAATGAATCTCAGCCGAGCAGCTCCTCAAAATTAACAAAGATGTAAGCTGCTACTGACTGCACTGGATCAAACACACCAAAGGTAATCAATACATCCACTCGACTGGGTGTGGTTCATCTCCTCAAGTACCTGCTCTCGAGCTTTGGGGGTGAGAACTGGCATTTCATAAACGGTGCTCAGAACATTGTGTACGACCGCCATGTCGGGCCGTCTGTCTGGATCGAGTTGCAAGCAAGAGGATACAAGCGCTGCAATTTTTATCAGTCCTTTTGGCGGATATGCTCCTATCAATGCTGGGTCCAGAACTTCGTGCACTCTCTGTTTGTCATTGAGCAATGGTTTAGCCTGCAGAAGCACACCATTCCAGTGTCAGTCCGACTCCTTCCAACTCTCATTGCAGACTCGACGCACGAACTTCATCTCCCGCCAATTCCGTACCAGTCAGTCAATCAGTCAGCTAATGCCCACAGGGCTGGACAGACGGGTTGTGTATAAATTCGTATCTACCAACAGCTTAAATTGGCAGTTCCTGACAGTGCTTGGTATCTGAGATGGTTCAGGCTGATCAAAGCATAATCTTCTCGGAATGTGCTGCTGCTGCCCCTCTTGATAATTCGGCTCTTCGAGTAATCTGTACCAAATCAGATGCAACAATGACTCTGACTACTGCATGCTAGATGGATGTAAGGATGGAAACTACGAACCCAAGGAACGAGAAACTGCTCGATTTTGTCGTCATCCGTGTCATCTGCGACGGTCGAGTGCTTTCCGGAAATAATCTCCAGCAATACAACGCCAAAACTGTAAACGTCGCTTTTGACGGTCAACTTGCCCGTGATGCTGTAATCTGGGGCCAAGTATCCAAATGTTCCCACGACACGAGTGGTCACATGGTCACTTTGGGGTAGAGGGTATGACTTCGACAGGCCGAAGTCCGCCACCTGCGACAGCCAATTCATCAAGCCTCAGGAGATCGGCCTCAAAAGCCTCAAAAACCTCAAAAACGTCGAAAGGACCACAACCAATTTGGTAGATTCATTGCTGTCACTGCTGGCAGCTCAGATGAGACTGGAGTATGTACCTTCGCGTTGAGTTGCTCGTCCAGGAGAATGTTGCTCGGTTTGATGTCTCGATGCACGACAGGAGGGCTACATTCATGAAGAAACTGCGGAAATGACAGCATTACGAGCATTAAGTTGGAGGAATCGGACTCAGAGGACAAAGGGCCTGGGCTCTACACTTCCAATTGGGATGCACTTTTGACATGTAGACAGGAACTCGGAAACGCACCCTTATTCCTGCAGCGGCATCCCTGGCTATCTGGATCCGAGTTTTCCAGTCCAGAAGTGCGACTGGCGGTGGACGAGTACTGTCTGCATTCGTTGAAAGGGTAAAAGTTAGACATTGGCTCAATTCATTCCACGCAAATTTCCACTTCAGTTCTCGTGCACGAAGACACCCAAAACGAAAGTTCGATCATCACCTCTCAGGTAGTCGAAAAGGCTCCCTCGGCCCATCAGGTCATAGACCAGAAGCCGTTCGTGCCCTTGAGAGCAGTACCCTCGCAGGCGAACCAGATGGGGACTGTGAAGTTGATGCGCGATCATCTCAACCTCGGTGCGGAACTCCGCCTCACCTTGTTTCGAGTTTTTCTTCGTTAGTTTTTTCACCGCTACCAGAGTACCGTCAGATAATTGACCTCTGTAAACCGATCCAAATCCTCCACTGCCGATGAGGCCATCGGGTCCGAAATCTCCAGTCGCCACCGCTAGCTCCTCGTATGTATATATCTTGACGGGAGGTCCGAAAGACTGGAGTGAGGTGCTTGATCGAGGCAACATGACAGGAGATGTGACGGCCGATCCTGGAGAAGAACCGGTGGCTGCGCATTGCCGTGGTTCAAGTTGCAAGTAAGATCATCCGACACTCATTGTGATAACAGAAATTCAAAGGCCCATGAGCATGCATCTTGGGATCACAGACAGCCTATTTTACTGCAGAAAGACAATCATCTGGTGAGCCATTCCCAAAGCATGCGAGTGATCTATCATCATTCTCAAAAAAAACTTCGAGTGTATACGTATTATGAACATAGATGACTTTGGCGCTTTGCATTCCACCTTCCTCTAACAAGTTTTCTGACCTCGGACTGCTGACATTCCTCATGGATACGAAAATCCATGCGCATACAGATACATAAATACAAAGACCTGGCTGGGTATCAACTGACCCTTTTTGTTAACAATACCCTGAATGTATGGTACGCTGAACTCCGAATGGTGGAACCTGTTCTTGCGTTTTCGCCGCCTTCGACAGACGAAGATGCACACAACAGCTGTGATTATTGCAAGTAGAAGCCCACCGACCAGGGCTGAGATCCACACTGCTTTTATAACTTTCTCCTTGTAGCTGCTTCCTTTGCTTGATTCAGAAGGGAATGGAGGATAAATGTCTGCAAAATCCACGAACGTATGTTTACTTCCTCGGTTAGAAGGGACCGATCATCGACGAGGACTAAGAAGTAAAATAGAGAAAAACTTTCGTATGCTGATAACTGATAAGACAGAAAAGTTTAGTACACACCTGAAACCACAGGAGGAACGAAGAGTGGCACCGAGTAGTTGAACCACCCGAATTCGCCATCCAGCCACATCTGGTCGGGATAGGGAGCATTCAACTTGGATTGTATGCGCACGACAGTTCCATAGTCTAGAGATTGACTCACAAGCGGAAAGACTGAAAAGGTAACTTCAGTTCCTGTACCGGTAGTTGAAATTGGCTGATCTATTAAGACCTGTTTGATCTCCAAAAAGAGTTCTCGAGCTACGTTTTCTTCCAACCTGCATGAAATTCATGCACATGTCAGAAAATAATTGTCCACATTAGAATTGAGATATTGTTGGTCAATGACGGCGAGTCATGAGAGTTTTGAGACTAAGTGTTACCGATTTTGTTGGTCAATCGAGAAACGGTTCAGCTGCACTTGGGGAAAGTCCAGTTTGAAAATCAAGGGTGCTACACAGTCGCATCCGGAAGCTGGATAACCTTCTCGCAGAAATGGGCGAAACGCCATTCCTTGAGGGCAGATACATGTCCGTGGAACTTCCTCTTGGGTCAGATCTGGTGTAACACAGGCGTTGATTGCCTGATTTTCACTCTCTGCGCAAAGTGGATTTCCGTATGCGCTGCATGGTAAAAAAGACCAATCCGTCAGCGTTTATCGTCTTTGTCCGAAATTCTTATCATAAGAAAGAGCCCTCAACGTGGTAGCTTAGATGGGAACCTCTCAGACAAAACAGCTGAAACACATCTCCAGGACGCAACGAAGTTGAAAGCTACAGCGTGTTTCCAGGACATTGCAGACTCATGAACGTGGATGTCGCTTAGTAAGAAGTACAAAACTTACAGAAACTGAATACTCGGCTTTTGTAAAGATTGTGGAATGGAACCGGTGATACTGTTCCTCTGGATTTGTCTGCAGTGGGAGAAAAAAGCCAGTATGGAAAATTTTAGGCCATGGGAGCTGTATGAGGATTCATCACGGCAATCGTCAGCGAATTTCAGCCTCTTGATCAGAAGTTGCTTCTCTGGTATTACAGGTGCAAAAAAAAACCGAGCAACTTACAATGATAAAAGATTCCCGGCGAGACCAAGACCTGAAGGGATGGTTCCAACCAGATTGTTTTGACTCAGGTCACTGCACACAGAACATAAATCAATCCACCATTCATTTATTCTATGTACACAATACGATATACGTAAAGGTTTGTGCGCTCCATGAACAGGTATATTTGATGAAAGGTTTCACAAATATAGAAAGCCTTTGGGGAATCATGGACAGATCAAGACAGGGAAAGAGCTTGAAATCATAAAAATCAAAATAATCAAAGGTATTCGCATTCGGGCTTTCTTTAGAAATAAACCTTGGACAGCTCAAGAGGAATAGAATTAACACGTGAGCACCCGCAAGGGCTAAACATGCTAGGAGGCATTACCAGAGGACAGATCAAGAATGACTTGACTTCCTTCTATAAGCCTATCATATCAGGAAAGTGGTGTCTCTCATTATTTAGATGTGCTTTGCACATGTTTGGTTCTTCTCATAGCTAGAAAACTCTTCCACATCTCTTGAAGATATGGTTTGCATCGGAGAAACTGGCGAACTTACATAATCTCCAGAGTGGAAAGGTCCGAAAATGAGTCGGGTATTGGTCCTGTTAAATTGCATCCCGCCAAACTCCTGCGTAATAAAGTCCTCTTGAGAATCACATTGAGGACAGGTTATGGACGAAAAGACTGAGGCCACCTTGTATTTTAAATGCTTCTTTAGCTGAGTACATTTGGAATCTCAAGATGGCAAAATCAGCAAGCATAATGCAAAGGAAGGAAAACAAATGAATCACTTACAAGCTGACAATGGAGACCATGTTGTCGAAACTAGGTATAGTGCTCTCTAAGGGATTTCCACTGAGATCCCTGTGTCATTCAACATGCGCAGAATGGGATCCAGATCAGAGGTCCAAATCTTCAGAAGTATAAAGGTACACAACATGAGACCCACATCAAGTGTTGAAGCACTCGGTAAAGCTTGAACTGGCGTTGTTCTTAAGTATTCTTGGGCTTGAACGTTACCAAACACCACGTTGCAAGTCAAAGGAACAGCGTACCGGTCAACATTATCTTAGCGTACTGCTCATATTCGGATGAAGTTTATATTCATATACATTTCATTCTACACCGAACATGCTTGGAAGCAAGTCCTTTACTTGAAATCCGAAGTTCAGAAACATTATTACTTACAACACTTCCAGAGTCCTCAGGTTGTTAAATGAATTCGGAATCGAACCACTAAGTCTGTTGCTCCGGAGCCGTCTGCAAAATTTTTGGTCCAGTCATTGATGTTAATGGCTTTGGATTAGCCTCTCTTAAGGACGACAAACTGGAAATGCACACATCGACTCATAAGATGGTGAGATTGCTGTGAATTATCTGTGACGTTCTTAAACCCTTTTGGAAAAGCGAACAAACGTGTACACCGTCTTTGTGCTAGATTTAAGCAAATGCTTTCAAAAGTTGTAACAGAACTGAATTGCATGCATTATAAGGATGGTTAGCCATCCGGGAAGACCATATTGACGACTCCAGAAGAAGTTATTCTATACAGAAACTAGGATACGCAAGTCGTAACTTACAGATCAGTTATGCTCCCAAGTGAACCGTAACTAACTGGAATCTCTCCTGAGATTTTGTTGCCATCCAACTTCCTGGCATCAAGAATTTTGGGATTTTTTAGGATCAGCATAGTTGAGACAATCCAAGCATGCTATGATCCACAGTAGACATACTGAATCGAGCAATCGATATTCCATAGTTCCTCAGATTTTACTGTTTGCGGTAAAAACTTCTGACAGACCCCTATAAGATTCGGAGAGAGAAGTCATACAGGTGCTTCAGGCTTGTTGAGCTTCCCAGGTCGTTTGGCAGGGTGCCCGTAAGCAGGTTGTCGTTTAGAACGCTACAAACGAATAGAAAAGGAATGTTAGTCGATCCTGACAATAATTCCGCTGACACTTTTCCTCCAACTTGAAATTAGACGATGGAAGGTCAGCTACAAGAATGTATGAACAGTGCACACGTGGGTGAAAGATCAAACAGCGAGTTTTTTACATGTGTGTCAAATTGGGTAAACTCCCAAGTCCGTCGGGCAAAGACTCTGTGAACAGATTGTGATCCATGTGTCTGCACAGGAATGAGGATGAAGTCAGGAGCAGCCTGGACGTGCACCGTCCTTTCCAAACACAGTTCTTATGAAGTTGGGTGAGGTAGAAATCAATGCCGAACAGCAACAGAGTGACAAACTTGTGGAAATTCGCCTACTCTATCACCAATTACTGCCTTACGAATGTAAATTGATACATCGAGGACTACTCACAGGTGCTCGATAGCCCTCAACTGCGAGAAAGACGGTGGAATAGGCCCAGTGAGCTTGTTGGATTCGCATGCGCTGGAAAAACATGTATCAGTCCGCAGTAAGTATTTTAAACTTATGAAGTAAGCTAAGCGAATACCAATGCAGGAACAAACAAGTGGTGACATTCACGTATGACTTCTCACGTTAAGTTACTCACAAGAAATTCAATTGGGTCAGATTTCCGATCTCTGCTGGAATGTTGCCAGTCAATGAATTGTTTGTTATTTTAAGTGTCTCGAGAGTTTTCGAAAGCTCTGATAGCTCGGGAGGAATTTCGCCTGACAGTTGGTTATTGACCAAAGATCTGCGAAACATCAGAGCATTCTCCGTTCTTAGCACCATCATGTAAAACTCCTCAATCAAAATGAGTAACGCCGAAAGTGTCACGGGAGCTTCTATGTGATTGCAGCTGACAAGAACAAAAGCGCGGAAGTTATCACAAAGTACACGAAGTTATCAACACTACCAGAGAGAAATCGCAGTGCAAAGTAAATTACTCACAGAGATGTTAACTTTTCCAACTTGGTAAGCCAAACTGGAATAGAACCAGTAAAGTAGTTCCCTCCAAGGTCCCTGTACATCAGGGAGTGAAAGTAAGTTACATTTAGCTGTGGCTGAGTCTTTGACAAGGAAGTGATCCCAGATTTCGTATGCCTCAAATGACATGTGGACAGTCCGAGGAGGAAAATTGAGGGGTGTCACTATCCAGTGAAGACCTACAACCGTGACAAATGAACGACTGTCCAGATTCTTGGGCAATTTAATTTGTCCGCATTTGGTCTTTGCTACAGGCTGCTATCCAACTTACGAACGGCAAACTAGTCAAGCTAATCGTAAAAAGTACTGTTCGCTTACAGGGATTTCAGTTTCTGGAGATTTTGTAATGAAGACGGCACGGAATCGGCTGCGAGCTGAAGATTCGGTAAAGACCTGTATCCGATGAAAATCCATCATTGGCACTTATGATTCGCATAAAATATTTAAATTTCAACGTAAGCTGTGTCACCAACAATTCAGTTGCTACGAAGCATGATGAGGAAAAACATCTGAGACCTCGACGTGGAAAACTTCAAAAGAAACACAGACCCAAAGGCACCTGCAGAGAAGAAGCGTACACACAAATACCAAATTGAGAAAGATTCTACTCGCAGATGACAATTTCGGAATTCTATTCAGGAAACTGTCAGGACATAAACCCCTCTCCTCTTCACGGTGAAAAAAAAGGCAAGCGGTGTTCGTATGAATTACAGCTGCTCGACGACACGGTTCGAGAGTCCGCTGGAGCAAAACACTCCTAGCCATTTATCGTCGCAAGGGTCAGAAAGGTCGGACCAACTTGTCAGCTTCTGTTCTGGGTCACTCAAATTTCCTTTGAAGTACAATAAAGCCTCCTCTGCAATCCAGTGAAACGTCATCAGAATCTTGAATATGGTGTTTGAATTCTTGAGGGAATTTTACGATATTCCAACACTACAAATGGCCTTCCCCGCAAATGATTCGAGTAGTTTTCTCGTTAAGAACCACGGGAACTATATAACTTGCACTCCCAACGCGCAGAGCGTCATGCTTTGCCAAGAGGAGTTCGCCAGCCGATTCTATGCCATATCCATCTCCACCTACTTTTCAAGCCTCCATCTTCATCTCGCTTGAAGTTCTCTATCAAGAGTCCGGTGGAATCGCGGTGAGACCATAGAGTTCCGCCCTGTCTCTGAAACTGACGTTCTCGTTTCTCATCCCCAGCATTCACTACGGCGCCCTGCGATTCTTCTCGGCTGCTTTTCCGTCACGTGACGCAGCTTAAGCAGGCATAAGCATTTTGCTAGGATGAGTCGCCGTCGACACCACCTCTCGACTCATCAAATAGAACCTCACTTCGCAGCCTCCACGGCCGGTCCTCATTGCTGTGCAGACCTACGCTCGTAATCGGACGATTCCGAGACCGATAAATTGATGATTGATCTCTCGACTCAAGCGTTCACAGTAGTCGAAAGGAGACTGAGCTCACAATCCTTCCAAGACCCTCGAATCCGACAGAAAATGACTGCAGCAAAGAAGTTCACTACAGTCGATAATCCCACCTGACAAGGAAGAAGTGTGGTCGGTAATCAGGGCACACGATCCTTGCCTGCATTTCTACGTTCAGTTCTGAGATACCCATCCACAGAAGAATGTCAACTAGACATCGCATTTCGTAGATGTCTACGATCTACGTGAACGCTTTATCGTACCATCTGTAGGCTCAGCGATCGTGAAACATTTCTCCCTTTCTCTCCTGACTTTCTGACCTGAGTGAAAAGCCTGCTTGGATGGTGAGGTCTTACAGGACTCTATCCGAAAGTCTATGCGCAGTGTGCACTAGAGGGATGGATGAGTGGGCCAGAGACAACGGACAACGACAGTTCTCAATCACTGTCACTGCATATTCTTCCGCACAATATCCTCTCACCTCGATATGAGCGAACTAAAAAATTCGAATGAAACTGAAACTGCCAGTACATGCACGAGGGTTTTGTACATGTGCACCAATCAACAGTCGATGCGAATGTCAACATCGTGCAGCCAGAGAACAATAATATACTCGCGCGGTGTCATAAGACAGTGTACCCGACCGGAGACACCGGAAGATGCAAACATCGGTCCAACATCGATTGGGTTCGACATAGCAATATACATGTCATCGACCTGTACACTCGAGGATTCTATTGCAGTACTCAGCCTCTAACGCAGATGTTGAGTATTATTTTGAGGGAGATCCAGAATAGGGAGCGGCCGGCAGTAATAGCTAGAGCGCTCGTGACTTCTTCCCCGAGAACGAAATTGTACACAGACTCGAGAAGGGATGGTCGAGTACAGTCCTTCAGTCCTAGAGCGAAATTCGTAGGAGACCGCACGCGCGGATGAGAGTATACAATCGGCATGTGATGGATGGAGATGTAGATACTGTCAGTGGCCGTATTTGCGGGTGCTCAGACGTCCTCAGACTCGTTCGCTCGTTCGTTTCTTCCGTCTCTTAGGATCCAGACCATGTCTCCAGAAATACTAAGCACGAAGGTTCTACTGAATACGATGACTGCGGGGCTCAGACGGCGCCTCGCATGCCTGGAACAACTTCCGGAACAACGGTCGACTCGAGCTAGCAGCCGTTAAGGATTTCAGACTGCTCGCGTGCATGAGAGAGAGGCCTGCGTGCGTGGGAGGACGAATTTCACAGATTTGGACTGAGGGGGGAGGAGGAGAAAGAATGAACGTACTGTCTCTCGAGTCAGTCGAGCTCTCCACAGGCGCAACCGCGAGGAGGAGGAGGAGGAAGAGAATGGCACGAGTGGCGGCCTCGGGTTGTTTTCTCGAAATCGTCTGGCGATCTGCGATCCTCATTCTTGGACTTCCGAGCGGCCAGACCAGATGTTCGCTTGCGCTCCCAGCTGCGAGTCAGAGTGGCGGGAGGTGCAGGTGCAGTCCAGCAGCAGCAGCAGCAGCAGCAGACTCCCATAGGCAACCTGCGGAGTTCGCCTGATTCATCGCGGACGAGAGAGAGAGAGAGAGAGAGAGAGAGAGATTTTCCTCGCGTAGTGTAGCTCAGCTAGAAGTCGCCCCTACAAGTCTGCGCGAGCGATTCGCAGTCCAGCGCCGACGCGATGGAGGTATTTCGGATACGATCAGCGCTCGCTCGGACGAACCGAGGCTGTGCTTTTGTTGAGCGAGTGATATGGGCAGGGACAACCGTCCAGTGAGAAATGGAAGCTAGATGGCAATCTCCACGAAGATCGAGAGTCATGAATGCTTGCGTAGAGCTGCAGTCTAGCTATGAGAGAGAGACCCCCCCCCCCCCCCGCCGTCCGCCCACCGGACGACGACGAGAGGAGTAACATTCGACGACGTCGCAGTAACTAATCAAAGCTGATTATCGCCTCAATCACTCATCATCATCCGCTGTTTACACCGAGAGCCCGAATGATTGAGCTGGCTTCATACAACCGAACAGATCTGCTCGAAACGACAAACGCCCTCCCTCCTCTCGACTCGAATTTAGCAGCTAATCTCAGAGAGCTGCGCACACTCGCTCCCGCCCCATTCGCGTACCCAAAGCTCGTGATTCTGATTCCTGCGGGGAACGCTCTCTGCGGATTCCCCCCCCCCCCCCCACCCCCCCCCCCCCCCCCCCGCCCACACGAAGCAATGCCGCGGGCAGACGGCTCCGTCTCAGCTCCGTCAAGCCTCAGCCGACAAGGGCAACGTTACTTGTATTATACATTTCCCCGTTCCGTAGACTTCGTCCTGCGCTCGATCGATGCCGACCATCTTGACACGTAGGCCCGAAAGACGACAAAGAGGGGAAGGTGACCGGAGGACCCGGGACGGCTCAGCATCTGATGCCGGATGCGCCCCTCATGATTCCGAATGTAGAGTTCGAGCGGGCGACACCGTGACCGGCTGGCTGGCTATCAATGAGCCCCGGGGCAGGACGGATAGCGCAGTCCGCAAGCGGGCATTTGGCGCGCGCTTTTTTCGAGGCGAGGTGTAAAGTCTCTGAAACTCGACGTCGTGGGGACTGAACCGTCGGATGAAGGCGATCCGAGGGCCTCGAAGTGAGCATGGAGGGCCAGGAGGTTCACGTCGCAACATGTGTCAGCACGCGCCTCTGTGCCACTCACTGCGCGCACCGTTCTTCGCTTTCCGCCACTTGTCGCCGCGGCTGCAGAGCTGCCTCTGGTTCTGGTGGGGGTTCAAATTCTGCGATCGCGGCCCCGTCGAAGAAACAGATCGTCATCACTCTCGAGAGTACACAATCAATTTCTACGCCCTGGCAGCGATTTGCGTATTTCGCCATTAACTTCCCCACAATTCCATCATTCCGCTTTCGGGGAAGAGCAGGGCCAGTTTCGATCCACCTCCTCGTCGCGAAATCCAGGTTTCTGCAACGACAAGGCAGCGGTCGGTTTTCATCCACCTCCTTCGGTTTGCACCTACTCTGCCCTAGCAGGACAAGCCCAAGGGTGGTACAGGTCTCGTCGGCCTGGCCTGGTCAAGACAGCCTAGGCTCTGCAGGGTGCTGTAGTAAATGCTCATCCAAAACCGCAGCACTTTTGAAGATATTCTGCTTGAACGTCCTCCTCCGTGTAGCCGGCACTGCATGGAATCATGGACATGCAGCACCACGGTAGCTTCCGCTCGACAAACCGTTAGACCTCCTTCGAAGCTGGCCGAAGATGTCAGTTGAATGTCTTGACCAGATACCGGAAATAACATAGCTCGAGAGTAGGACACTCTTGCTTTAGCAGGAGCTTTTGGTTTTGAGTTGAGTCGTTTGTCTGAGCATTTGACATGCTTTCATAGAGACGTACATCGTTTGTACTTGAATGAGACACTGTACTTGTGCAGAGCGCTGTGCAGATTAGGGTGTTAGGAAGATTTCCAGTAGGGGGACGGAGATAGGCAACCCTTTATCCAACCAATCACTCTCCAAATGCACAGTACTGGTAACGAGATTTGCTCACGTATCATTTTTGCACAGGTCCAGCGCGAATCGTCGAACGCAATTCTCTCTGAATGCGCGAACCTATAGATCAGGTGTGAAAATTCTCAATCAATACATTGATTGGCTTGTTCCGATATTTACTGAGTTGATCAAAGAATTTGGAAGCTTTGATCTTTTTAGAAGAAGAAGGGTATTCTATTGTCTGTTGATCAGATGAGTGAACATAATTACAGCACATGCTTTGCTTTCTCTCCACATAAAGAGAAAAGAAATGGAGGCCCAAATTCATAATTTTCCAAAACCTAGAGTCGTGGTAACGAGGAATCTTCCTCATACAGCGTTCTGGTATTGGAAACACCATCTGCACGGAATACAGAAGAAGAGTGTACTCAAAGAAACAATTCATGATGTGCATGCCAGCACCAAAAAAAACTAGTCCAACATTTTTCTTCGGAAAAAGACACATATCGACTCGGATCAAAAAGTCGAATTTTTCAATGATGATATTTTTCCTCTAGTGGCGGAACGCCGTTCATCACTTGACTCCGTGTATCTCGGTAGTGGCTGATTCCATGATTTCTTCATCAATCAACTAACTGAGAACAGAAGTCAGCATTGATTACAACAAAACCAACAACATAAATGAAAATTTTTCTACCTTCCAACTGAATATGTCAGTATTTACACAAACCAACGGAGAAACCGCTTATTCAAAATGTCAACACAGTCAGCAGACAAACAGTTGATCCCAAAGTAAACATAAACATCCCCTCATTCATTATGCGCGAAAACAAAATTTCAACATTATTCCCTACTAAAAGTCCAAAATTAGTTAGGCAGCGAGGTGAGTCCATATACACCACTGCTCCTCGTCTCCTCTCCTCTCTTTGTCGATAATTATTTCGTTCAAAAATCAATGAAAATTAATGATATCTTGGACTGATGAAATTAACGTTATGAATTCAATTTTCAAAGTTCAATTATTTTGGGAAAAACTGTCTTTGATTCAAATCTAATAATATTTAAAACACACAAAATAAAAGAACTGAAAATGTAATTTTTATGTAAAGATGTCTAGAAAAGATCAATACCAATGCAATGCAATCTCCAAAATCAAAGAAAAAGATTTTTTTTTAAAAAGCCCGAGGGCTGGATCCGAGGACATAGTGGTTGGCCCCATATTATGCAACATAGTGCTGTTTATTTTTCAAAAGAGTTTCAATATAAATAAAATAATGTTTACAAGTAAACATGTGATTTAAATAAAACTTTTAAATATAAATTCAAATTCAAATAAAACTATCATGTCATATATGAACATTTTAGAATGTAATTTTGGAGCTTATTTCTTCTTCTTTTTTTAAACTATTCAAACTAATAAGCCCAAGTGAGGATGATATGAAGCATCGAAAATTACGTCACAATATTACATATACACTTGTTACTACCCTTCCTTATGTTGAATCGTCTCAAGTTGTGATGTCTCTTTTGGTTGTATATAGCACGACACACGTGAATTTGGTATTTAACTCATTTATTCCATTAAAAAATGTGGAAAATTTTGGATAGAATAGACTTTCACATTCATTCGATGTTTTGGTATTCAACATAACCATCTGAAAATTCAGGTAATGCCATAGTTTATGAGGGCGAAAGCTCCAAGGTTTCAAGGGTTGGAGCACTCATCCCTACATTTGTTGATGATAAATATATGAAAAAATTTTAAGCCCACAAAATAAGTGATATGATTTATTAAAATATCTGTATAGACTTAAGAGAGATGAGGAAATTCGAGTTTTTATGATATTATTTCATTATTTCCAAATCTGGTCATCAAATTTTTGTATTTTTATATGATATCCCACTTCATCTACAGAAAATCTACATGATATTAGTTCTTCATTAGAAACATTAGTATCTTGATTATTTGATAGATTAGATTTATTGATGTTTGGAGCTTTGAAATTTATTAATAGTTTTCATTGACTATGTCATATGTTACTTCATAGTTTTAGAATTTTACTTTAAAAAATATTAATTTTCATTCATTTCACGAACAAACTATGATTTCATTAAAAAGGTTTTTTTTAATTTCCGATATTAAAATATAGAGTTTGACAATGAAAATATAGAAGAAGTGAAATCATATTATCATGTTTTTTGTCCTCGGATCTGAGATAGGTGTTAAGTTTAAAAGTTTCACAATCTCAGAGATAATTCTATGCTGCAACTGATGGCAGTTGCATCATCATATTGACCTACAGAAGCTATAGATCAAATAAGATTTAGAATAGCAATTGGATAAATGTCAAAAAATGGCCCGGAAATATTTTCTTTTATTCTGAATTTCTACTTCCTCGAAACACGTTTCCACGAGACCTAAAAAATCACTGCATAGAATCATGAGCGCATCAAAGAGAAGATTCTGTTAAATTATATTTTTCCGTCTGCATAGTATAACTGAAGAGGTTCTTCAAACATCGATAACACACGCTTATTTAACATGAGTTCGTTTTCGCCGGACAGAAAAATCGACTGGACCCGTGGGTAAGGGAAAGGTCATCAGCGTCGACACGTCCAATGGACGATAAAGAATCTCGTGGAGATATTATGAGAGGACCATAAATGCCCGCGCAGACGACCGAAAGCAAAGGTTATTATGCAGCTGTATGACCGGCTCAGAATTGCCAGGATTGTTCCGATCACAGTGAGTAGTCAACATCTGAAAGTGTTCAAAGTAGGTGAGGTAGCCCTACGTGGTTAGTAATCTCACTATCCACCGCTACTCTGTACCGTGGTGATCATGCATTGACTGGATATGCATCCCCAACGAAACACTTCCCGCTCGTTTGCCACGTTTGTGCTCGGAGGTAATTCTTATTACCCTAATTACCACAGTTGACAAAGAATTTAACAGCGACCATGACCGAATTTTTAAAAATAATAAATTATTCTAAGTATTTCAGATGGAAATTTCAGTCGTTTTTACTTGAAATCAATATTCTGCAACGAGTCCGTTCCAGCTTCTGAAGACAGAGTAAGAGTGCGTAAAGCGCCAAATCTCTGCTCCCTTTCGCCTGTGCAGCCACGTGCCTCTAAACAGCATCAGTGTTCGGAATCTCATGGCCTCTGGTATATCTCTACCAGACCTCTACTCAGTCCCTGCAGTCTCATAGATACATGTCAGTGGATTGGTTGGAAACATTTCCAGCTACAGAAGAAAGGCTACAGGAATTGTAAAGTTTCACAGACTTTTAATGTAATCATGAGCTGTTCTGGAGTTGGATGATGACACACGAGAGATATCACATCTTTTGCTTACATGTTCAATATACTTTTCCACCTTCCGTCTT